TTATCTCTAATAACTCACAGTCAGTAATGTGTGAATTCAACTGTATCTTTTCGAAGTTGTTGGCAATATTTATGACAGAGAAAAAAGGGCTCTTTTAGGGCAGTAAGGCAGGGGCTTGAGCCCGTTCAGGCTGGTACTCGTCAATTTATTGTTCTATATGTGAAAATTATTTTAATTAGACAAGGCATTTAAATATTTCATTAATATGACTACTTGATGAAAAGTGCCTAATCAGTTTTTTTCCCAAATTAAAGTCAATATCTATAGACTTTTTTTATTTTTTCAAAGTGACAGTATTAAAGAATTTCAGTGTTCAACGTCACTCACTTAACAAGTAATAATGTAATGATTATCCATAAATTTCTTCAACGTAATCAGAAACGTAAGGAAATTATCTAAATCAAACCTGAAATTAAACAAAGCTAGCATCGTACACCGTTCATTTTGGGTTATTAAAAAGGAACAATAAAGTGAAAATTTTAATATTCCACTCCAACACTGCGATATTAGCATTACACACAAGCAACAACAAAAAACAATTTACGTGATCGCATTCTCTGTTAAGAAATCTTATAGCACTCTCGAATACAGCGCCACTTCTGTGAACGGTAAATCTATTATAAGAAATACATTAAATTTGTTATACTTTATTATCAAAAATAATGACAGGCTGTCAAAATGCGTGATTTATTATTTTTATTTCGTCGTTTCTGTGTTAATTAAAACCGTATATTTTTAGTAAATGTTATTAATGATAATAGAAAAAACAATATGTCATAAAAACATTATCCATAGATATTCAAAGTAACGTTAAAGTATTTAAAAAGTTTCTTTATAGATTCAAGTTATACAATTACAACTGTGTGTGCGATCCACATGAGGGCGTACATGTCTGGCGCTTGTTAAATCAAAATATTTAACTGTTTCAATAAATAATTTTGCGAATCTGAGTATTTTTAGATCGACTTTTTTTCCAGTGAAAAATAATTCGTTTGGATATATTAGAATCGTTCGATTGGTTTCGTAAGTTATAAAAAAGTACAAGTAAAAATATACCCCATGAGGCTAGGATCGATGTTGGTTTCAAAGACATTCGGTCTACATCAATGTTTGATTTATGCTGGATCTTGATGATCTATCAGTCTATTTACCTATCTAAGCAGTAACTTAGAAACGATGTTTAATGTCAAAGAATGGTGCTCCGAAACGTACTGTGTTCCTTTACTCTCTGTACATACAACAGTAATTTAGAAACGATACTTAATGTCAAAGAATGGTGGGGTTCGAAACGTTCAGTTGGTATACTGTTGTTATTTTTTAATTATTTACTTGAATGACTTAAAAAATCAACTTCATGCCAACTACACTTTGTAGTAATCTGTAGTAACTCTATGCAATCTAGGGGTAACTTCGCTTTTAAATCAGCAATTTTAATCAGTAAATTATTTTTCCAAAGTCACACTATTAAAGAATTTCACTGTTTTCCGTTCAATTACACTAAAAAAAAGCGTTTGCATATTACTGTAGAGGAGGTTCTAGTTACTAACATCAAAATTACCATTAGCAGACGTTGTTTCAACTAGATTGTTTCGTTTATCTTGATCATTTATATCCGTGCTGTAACTTCTGATGTCTTATCTTCTTGTAAGATGCTAAAAAAGGGTTAGTTATTTTTGGTTTACTCTGTAGAATATTGTTAATTTAAATTTTATCTCTCCATTGCAGAGGTGACATAGTTTTAATTTTCCTTTTTTGCATACAAATAGCTGATTTTACATTCAAAGTTCAGTAAGAGGGTAGACTAGCGGTGAATTTCTGGAGTAGTGTGTGAAAATAATCCAGCTTTTGTATTAATATTGTGAAATATAATTGTTCTTTTTTTTTTCGAGACAAATTTATAGGTGAAGGGTAAATTTGTGTTTTCACCAGAAGATAACAACAACAAATTTGTGGTAAAGTATGAAAAGAAAGTAATTTAAGAAATTGTTACATGTCGAAAATATACAAAAGCAGATTAAAAACAACAAATAAATGTACTTCAAAACAAATATACAGTGTTTCAAGTGTGTTGTTATTTCATTTTGACGACTAAAGATTTTTCCAATCATCCGGTTACGAAAAGAAGCACGTTAAATGAGTTTTACTACTATTACTGGGGCGGCTATTTGAACTAGTAGTTACTAATCGTAGTATTCATATCTCATTGAAAAAAAAAGAAATTAGAAAAAAGTGAACATCTTCTAAAAAAGGATTTTTCTGGGAAGTACTGCACGGGAAAAATGTTCGGATTGTGCTGATTTAAACTGTGATATTTTATATATTAAAAGTGGTACCCTTTACTGAAAAACTAATTTTTTAGGAACTCCATTTTTTAATACTGTATTTACAAATTACATCGATAAAGATATAATCAAACCCTCACATACAGTTCTAGTGAAAGTCGTGTTCTTGTTGTGAGGAGAGTACTCTTATTTCAAATTGTGATATATTATAAAGAAATGGTTGTTGGACATACCACAGATATTTTTTCTAATTGTGTAAGTATGAAATTTATTTATGGGTTTTTGTTTGTGATGCCATTCAATAGATGGTGCCACATTATATTCATTATTTCGATCACATACATACATAGATACATTTATACACGCTACTCCATTATAGTATGAAGATTGTTATTAAAGCTTAAACTCAACTGTTGCTTCTGGAGAATCTAATTCAGTAGATAACTCAAAATGATTAATTTCCATACAAAAAACGGCATCATAGAATTCTACGAATATAAGTTAAATGTAGTTTAGCATAATGTAATAACCTAACTACTTGGTAAGATTTGTAATGAAACATTATATTAGGCCTAGTCTCTTAGATTGAGAATGTAATGTTAACAAATATAATAAGCCTAACATAGTGTCTTATGACAAGTATAATTAATTATAATCATGGTTAGCCAGCTTAGAAAGGCATTCACACCATAACAAAAGATTTGTAATGGTTAAAATTATATAAAGGTTCTCGACATTAATAAGTATTTATTTTGCATGTTTTTTCTTTCTTTCTGAAAGCTGTTTAAAAAAAGCCGATATGTTTGTAAAAACGCAATTACGAAATATATTGCACCTAGAACCTGAATAATCCGACAGGACAGCATCGTAGTTCCTTTCACAACGTCTTGGAACTTTTCACAAACTACATCTATTACATTGATTTGGTTTTCAAGGAGTAAAAATGAAAAGATTCAAAAAGCCACTAACGTTGCACTCAAAAACGTTGTCTCTCGTCTTTTCCAAATTCAAAATGTGTCATTGAGTTCTATTCTACGTTTCCATTAATGCTTATTTTCAAATCCTCTTGATAACGTTCTTATTTCTTATATTATTACTTTGACGACACAGCGAGTACAAAAGGGGCAATCGGGCATTCTTTTAGGTTATAATAACCATCAAAGTGCGAAATGTTCGACACTGTACAGAACCTTGTTTGAGAAAAAATACTACTTGTGGGCTGCACCTGCTTTAGATGTTTTTGGACGACGTTTCAAGCTGTTAGCGCAGATTTTCATCTTCAGTTTTGTGTACTGCATCTGGTTTAGAAGCTATATGAGAACGTTTCGAGCTGTTGCGCAAACCTTCATCTTTAGTTCTGTGGACTGCATCTGCTTTAGAGGTTTTTGAACATTTCGAGCTGCGAACGCAGATCTTCAGCTTCAGAACTGAAGATGAAGATCTGTACTAGCAGTTCAAACTATCGTTCAAAACATTTAAAGCAGATGCAGGTTACAGACGTATTCAATCAAATACTATTCAGATAATAAATCAATCAGTCATGATGTCTTCTCCAATTTTGAGGGTCGACAACTATGGTTCTCCGTTGTCCTCTGTTCCTCGCTGCTTGCACCAACTTTCCTAATTCGTGTTTCCCACATCTAATCCATCTTCTAATGTCATCAAGCCAAGTAAGTTTCTGCTTCCCTCTCGTTCTTGTTTCTCCGATTTCACTTACCAGAATCTCCGCCAACCTTCCCTTAAATCTAATTATGTAGCACACATTTCGTTTCATACATATGTCCAGCAGTTGTCTTTGCACGTTCCAATACTTCCCCATTAGTTTTTATTTCTATGTAGCTGATCTTCATCATTGGTCAGCACACAAGGTCCACGTTTAAACCACGTAGAGTAGGACTACCTATACGTAACATTTTGTTAGTTTCTTCTTCATTTCGAGTCTGACATTTCTCCTGAACAAAATATTGAGATTGAAGAATGCTGTTTTTGCCATTCCTATTCTCCGTTTCATCTTTTTTCACACTTGTCATCACTACTGATAGTCGTCCCTAAAGAAGTAAAGTCGTCTGCTTATTTCATCTCTCTACCTTTCACTTTGATTTATTTCTTAGTAACTTTCCTAGATCGTCAGGTCAGGTAACAATAATTATCAAAGGACCAAAACAATTATCAACGAAAGAAATTTTTGGCATTATTGGGTTATAATTAAACTTTCGATACCGTTCAGGTCATCACAATTATCATTATGAAAGATTGAAACCATTGCTATTGTTCAGTTCATAATTATCAAAGGATGGTATCTTTACCATTGTTTATATCATAATATTTATCAAACAATGAAAATTTCGACAGTGCTTGGGTTAATGGTAGTACTAGAAAAATTAAACCTACATTTCACTCAGGTCATAATAATATTCACGAACAATAAGATTGGACATTGCTCAGAAAGTGAACGTGTCGATGTTGTTATAATCGTACAGATTTTTTGGAAAAGGTTAAGCCGTAAGTCATAACAATTAACTGGAAAAATGCTTGGCATTGTTCTTGTTAACGAAACCAATGATTTGATTTATATTTTAATTAAATATAATTAAAAGCGTAATATAAAGACACAGGCGGAAACATAATCGGATTAAATCTTTCAAATCAAACCTTTAATTCAGAAAGGGAAGGAAGCGGGACAGATAAGCTAAGAAGCAAAAACGACACAGTACAAAATTCCAGTAATTACTTTCCTTTATTAAATTCAAATCCAAACATTTAGAGCCATACAAATTTAATTTTTTGGCGAACCAAATAACAACCGCTAAGATTTAATTAAATGATCAGTATATATACAGATCACAGATGGGGTATGTAGCAAGTGAAAAGTGAAGCCACAAGGCCTCACAATATTAGCATGCCTAATTGCTATACGATCAGTGAAAAATTGTAACCCAAAACGCTAAGAATGAGTAAGAAAAATTACAGTTCCTAGTTTATTCGATTCCCTTTTTTTTTTGAACATCTTTGTTTCTCTGTTAACTTTGCCGCCAAGTGACTAATATTTCATCATTACAGTAGGTATTGTTTACCTAACATATAAAACACGTCTACTAGTCAGAAAAATATATATACAAAAACTTATAAGATATGTACTTTTACATATTTACTATATTTGTTTTACAACTGTTTTCTAAAATATTTGGCAAAAATAATAACAACAATAAATTTGAATTTTCGCGAAACTCAATGCCCATATACTTAAACACAACTTTTCTACTGAGCAAAGTAAATACATTCATTGAGCATTGATGTTAACATATCACTCCTACTGGCAAAGTTCTGAAACAACTATATTCAAAGTTGAGGGGGAGGAGGAAAGAATTTAAAATAATTTCTCAAGCATGAGACTCCTCACGTTATAAAGTATCAGGTACAACCATTAAACAAAGTAGACTAAATTTAGTACAAAAGTATTCAAGTTATCAAAATCTGCACATACAATGCCCATATATATTAAAATGTAACAATCTTATGTCTATTTTAACTTATTTTCAAATGTACACAATTTCGATAAAGGCCAAAAACCGAACTTTGGTCCAATTGAATGATGAACACAGAAGCTTTCGCATTGCACGAATACTAGAAGGCAACGTTCGACTCAATTTGTGGCGGTTTATACACAAAGCAGTAAGCGAAACATTCCAGCTTTGTGTACAGAGAAGACTGACTGAGACAAGTACAGAACAACATTTTAATCAAGTTAATACCATGAAACCTAGTAACAAAATCATATCAAACGGTAGGCGTATTTAAAGATCCTGTCTTGTAGAGAAGAAATATATTTATTTAAACAACTGTTTAATATTTCAGATCTATCATTAGTCTCTAAAAAGATGTGAAATCCAAAAATAGGTAAGTTATGAGAAATGTGACAATAAAATCTGTAGTTTAGGATAGTTTTATCACAAATGTTAGGCCTATCGTAACCTTTTATCGTTTCTTCTTTACGTGTGAATTAAGTTTGTTAACACTACACATTAAATGTATACATATTTTGGAAAGAAACATAAGCATTATTTTCAACCAAATAACACAACGTAGAATATACTAACTTCAGTTTTCAATTACTGAGATCTTTAAGCGAACAGCCAGCTTTTGTATTATTCTAACTCCAACTATTTCTGAGTAATGCAGCAAGTAACAAACCGTGCAGTAATGTAGGTCGATAAGCGTGTTCTTAAACCTACTTTTTATTTTCTGACTTAACTTACCAAGTTTCCACAAAAGTATAGAAAATGAGACAACTAGTGAAGATTAATGAACGACTACGTTCTTACAATAGATCTTCTTTCTTTCTGCTACTAATGTATTTATCAGAATGTTAAAAAAGAAAAAGTTCAATTTACAGTTCCACATACAAAACTACTATATAAAAAAGTAGTAATTTAAGCTCATAAAATATTTTTTCAAAAGGCTGTTTCCGGGTCAACAAAAACGTGGTCAGTTTTTACTAAAATATACTAGAATGATATCTGTCAATTAAGGAATCCATTCCGTAAAGACAAATGGCATTACCTTTTCTTAAAGCCCTGAATTTACTACTTATCCAAGCCAAAATCCCACAAATGTAATGACCAATTTTAAAATGAAGAGAACCGAAAGTACTCATTTTAACGATTGGTTGGTGTTTCATTTAGGTTTGGGTCCAAAGAATCCAAAACCAGTAGAAAAACTAAAATTTATTATGGTATAACTCATAAACTGATTGCCATTGTTGGTTTATTGTTATTTTAGGTGTAACTTTGACCGCAAACTTATATTGTTCAGTAATCAATAACAAGTATTTGAATATGAGAACAAACAAAGTCACAACAAGCACTTCACAAGGGACGAAACTAATTAATTATTGGAATTATATCTTCAGGATTCAAAACAACAGCAACACTTCAAGAATAGCTGAAAAATCTTTCTTTTCACTTCTAGCACATAAAAAAAGAAATCGACTTTTGACCATTAGGAGCAAAGAATATTAAATAACTTTCCGATGAAAAGAATAAACCGACCTTTCGATTTCACAGAATGGAGACCCTAGTCCACAGCTATCGTTCTAAAATATTTTTTGTAAATTCGAAAAATTTCCAGATGTAACATAATCTAGGCTTATCAGCAATATGGGCCTGATTAAATTGCGAATCTAGAGTTAACATACAATTAACACATTTTATTTTTGACTGTGCTAGAAATAAACGTAGTGTTAGGATGTTGTTAGCTATTAAAACAAATAGAAATTAATATACAGGGTCAGCAGATGTTTATAGAACCAAAAAGAAATAATGTCGCAGGGCATCTGGCAGTTTGTATTCTTTCTTCTTGTTTATATTTCACACACAAATTCTATTTGAAAATATATTCAAATTCGCAATCAACTAATTTCCTTAAATATTATTGGTTAACATAAGAGGCATTAATCGCTATTTTTTTTTTTTGTTTTGTTTTGTTTAGGGTTTTAATTGGACTTGTCACCTTCACAAAAATAATTTAATTTAATAGTTAATTGCTATAAAATTTCAGTCTTTTACAGGTAAAAGTCAGGCAATAGTATTAATTCACATTTAGAAAACAGGTATCTTGCATGCATTTTCTTCTTGTTTTACTATGTGCAAAGCTACACAATAGATTATCTGCATTCTGTCCACTAGGGGAAAACCCCGGACTTTAGCATTGTAACTTGTAAACTTACCGCAGACCCACCGAGGGACGCATGCATTTTTACCATTAGGTTTGTTGTGGGCATGTCCGTTAGTAGGAATCTTATAGGCATATTAGTTACGTCACATGCAAATATGTTAGTCTCACGAAAATACTGTCATTGCTTAGATTACGTTGATGTATTTTTTACTTTGATAAGCCAATTAAAATGAAAACAAATACAAAAAACACCCGATATTACTGGTTAATTGATGAGTAAAGAAATCCAAACTTTTCAATTTAGTCCCCGCTGCTTTTTTTTACATTTTAAGAATCATAAAATCTTAAATGAGCACAATAATGCGCATTAGACGACATCCATATAGAACGTTTCACAACAGTATAGTTCATTGTAGTTACAAAAAATGAAAAACAATAACAAAAAGACACGATCTATGATATTTGATGAATGAAAGACAGAAACGAGAACGGCTTGACGTTCTGGCAGTGTCCACATTTTCATTTTTTTTTTTATACACACGATTACCTGGAAGAAGGGAACAAACCCGATTGTGCAAACTTGGACACTATGAATTCTTACCTCCAGCATACTATAAGCTTTTATAGTTTGTAAGAAACAGCTAAATTTAGGCTTAGAAATTCTTCAAGAACACTTTTATTCAATTAGCAAATAAACGTGGAATACAGAAACATCCCATGGGCAACATATGGTTTTGGTGGTTCTAAAGAAACATCCCATGGGCAACATATGGTTTTGGTGGTTCTAAAGAAACATCCCATGGGCAATATATGGTTTTGGTGGTTCTAAAGAAACATCCCATGGTAACATGTGGTTTGGGTGATTCTAAAAAAAATATCCCATGGGCAACGTGTGGTTTGGGTGGTTCTAAAGAAACATCCTATGGGCAACATGCAGTTTTGATGGTTCTAAAGAAACATCACATGGGCAACACGTGTTTTGGGTGATTCTAAAGAAACATCCCATGTGCAGAGTGTGTTTTTGGTGGTTCTAAAAACATCACATGAGCAACATATTGTTTGAATAGTTCTAAAGAAACACCCCATTGCCAACACATGGCTTGGATGGTTCTAAAGAAACATCGCATGGACAACATGTAGCTTGCGTGGTTATAACGAATCATTCCATGGACAACATATAGTTTGCGTGGTTCTAAAGAAACATCCCACGGGCAACATGTAGTTTGCGTGGTTCTAAATGTATAATACCCTGAATCGCTATCGTGGTTTCTGCTTACACAGTTTCTTATGGGTTCATTTAGAGTCAAATATAATAATATCTCAAACTTTTTAAAGCAAAAGTTTTTAAACTTTAATCTAGTTCAAACTTGATATTTTGGTTGTAAGGAAATTTCTAAAGTTTACCAAATCTTGATTTAAAAAAAAATTTTCTACTTTGTTTAGCAAAAACTTACACTCTTTAGCAGATTTAGATCTTGTTTTCTGCCTTTTCTTACAAAAGTGAACACTTATGACCAGTGATTAAACTGGGATTTCGAAAGAGATGGAACTCATTTGTGATCCACTTTGACATTCCAATCAGAAAACCAGGATCCTTAATGGCTTGAATCCTCAAGAGACGAAAATTCATTCCGGACCGTTCCACCCCAATTTAACCTCTGCTTATGACCATATCCAGTAATAGGTCACGTTTGGTTACGTTCATTACGTTTTGGAATTTCGACAACGTCCACTATAGATTTGAATGTTGTTCAAAAGTTGTCTCTTGGTTCGTTGAACAGCAGAGGAAATTTCAACAATGTTGTCCCTTGTCATAGAAAAAAAAAATGTTTCCACATCCGACAGCTAATTTCTGTTTTTTCCGCAGTAAATAAAAGAAGCACAAAAAATATCAGGAGAAGAAATTTCCAGAACAATTGTTGAAGACTGTGCTCAAAAGACAAAAATCTTCAAAGAGAAAAATGCGTATTCTTCTTCTCCAACATCTCAAAACAATATAATGTTCGTGTCAACAATTCTGTGTCTTAACATAACCTATTATGCTTTTTTTTTATTTCTTGCTGATTGATGATTTGTACAGTGTTGTTGCAGACGAAGGAAGAACATTTTCATATTATTTTCGACATACTTAAACAAAAGATGGGGCTTTTACTGATGACGCTTGGCATGTAGCGCGAGATGGTCGGAACGCGAGAAACAGCGATCACAGTGAGAACACTTGAAGGGTTTCGAACCTGTGTGTTTCCGATAATGTCGGGTGAGTTCGTCAGAGCGAGCGAAGCGCCAGTCACAGCCTTCCCACGAACATTTGTAAGGTTTTTCACCTGCGAAGCAAGAACAAATTTAAGGTTAAAATATTTTAGAAAGGAAGAAAACAAAATAGAACAAAACATTTCAATATCTAGTGGAAAACAACAGCTAAATACAAAAGGTACTGTACACATCAATTTCAAATGAGAAATACAAATAATGAAATTATAATAAAACACTTACCTCTGTTACGAATAGTATTTTGTGGTTTAAAAAGAAAGAAAAATTATGTTGCTGTAAGCTATATTTTTAATATAATAAATTATTCGTTTACTAGAGGGAGCTGCGTGTCGTAATGATTACGAAGAGTTTAAAAATTAAGAAAAAATATATTGTTGTAATTTGTTTGTTTGCTAGGGGGAGCTACGTCTCGTAATGATAACTTTAAGAGCGAAAGTTTAAAAAATAAGAAATATTCTACTGTGACACAGTCATGTCAGAATGTTGATTTGTTGCTTCTCCTAAATTTTAAAAAGTTTATTCTAGTGCAGGCAGTCGATGATGTATCGATATGCACCCAAGTGTTCCCATTACATATGTTAGTTTTACAATATAAGTGAAACGAACATCCACTGCAAAACTTGAAAGAAAGTGCGCAGATTTTCATATTCTTTGGTTTGGATACTCGCGCCCAGCTAACAAAGGGATTATCTGCGCTAACTGTCTCTAATATCGAACTGATGGGATGGAGGAAAGACAGTTGCAGCTAGTCAAAAACACTCACCGCCATGTCTGGGGCTACCCTAATCCAATAATGGGATTTAATTGTCACTCTTGTAACAAGGCTCCAAAGTGCAGAGCGTGATTTTTTATCGTGTCTGGACTCGAACTACGTACTTCCCGTATCCGTACTCTCGGCTCGTATATAGAATGGAATGTATGTTTCGAGATACTTTAACTTCTCAGAGGAGATGCTTTGTCTAATTCATCTAATAAATCTGTCCATAATTATCTTCACAGTCAAATGTGTTGAATCTTAAAACGAAAAGATTCGAAGAACGTATTATTTTTAACTTAAGGATAAAATATAATATGGCAAATAATCAAGATGTTAAGCAGTTTAAACCGTGTAGGTCACACTGTATTAGAAGTTTTATGATGAACATAGACTGACCTTTTGGAAACTGACCGTTAAAGTAAATGATTATTTCAATTTAACGTTCATGAACTGCTGAAACGTAATCTGCAATGACAGCTTTATTAATACGCGGGTGCAAAATTTCAATATAGGGTCTGCCCGTTTTTTTTTGTTTTTTTTATTTATTTATTTTTTTTACAACTCACATGGTTGATTATATTCCCAAGGGATGATACTTTCTTCGTAAATATGGATGGAGGTGTTCACTCGACACCTGGAAAGTGTTCGCCAGTGGCGATAGGGTTAAGAGCTTAACTTAATGGGCCTCTTTCATTTCCGAACCCCGTAGCTGTGCTATAACTCACTAGTACGCCAGTACTACTACGTTTTTAATTAAAAGTAATAAAAAATATATTTAAAAAAAAATTATACATTAGAACTCAAAACACTGGACGTCTACTTGGCCCGCGCAATTTTAAATTATAGGCTACTTCTCATGTAGTTAACCCTGTTTTGTATTTTTTTAATCACGCGAACTTGTAGGGGGAAAATAGCATTTTTTTTGTATAATAAATTTTATTTTACAACATACTTTACGTAGAAAGATGTCTATTTATTTAGAATTATGTAAGTAACTACCGAGACGTATCTAAAAATATGTTACTTTATTAATGGGTCAACATCCTTTAACTTAGAACGACCTCTTCGCGTTCACCCAGGAAACAAGTCACATGACCTAAAATTCCCGCAGCCATTTATCACATCCTACAACACTATTCAATGAACATCTGGCATGGCCTGGTAAGGGCACACGACTTGAATCTGCGGGTCACGTGTTCAATTTCCATCACCGAACATGCCCGTCCTTTCAGCCGTGGATGCATTATAACATGACGGTCAATCCCACTTTTCGTTGGTAAAGAGTAGCTCAAGAGTTCGCGGTAGGTGGTGTTGATTAGCTGCCTTACCTTTAGTCTACCACTTCTAAATTAGGGACAGATAGCCCTTGAGTAGCTTTGAGCGAAATTCAACAAACAAGCAAATTTTTCAGTAAAGTCTTAAACAAACTACAGCGTAAACAGATGAAACGAACTTAGAGCATATAATATGAAGAGCAATTAACCATATAAATAAATTCACACAATTTTTATTTATTTATTATTGCTAACGTTTACGGATGGTAGAAAAATTGTACCAATAATAATAGAAACTGGGGGAAAATGGCTCCGATAACAATGGTATCAGTAATAATGGAAAGTAGGGTAAATGGTTCCGATAACAACGATATCAGTGATATTGGGGAGTGACAAAAATGGCGCTTGTAATACTGGTATTGAAATAGTGGGGGGAAAATGGTACCCCCCCAAAAAAAACACAACACAAAAATAATGTTTTTCACGTGAGCTTAATAAAATTTTCTTCCGACGTTCCGTTATAATTGTTGGACATTTTATCAGTCTCATTGTCCCCCCCCCCCATTTTGCAGTATTACAAAACAACCAGCACAGCTTTAATTCATGCAGATTGCACGTCGATAACACGCTACTATGGTAAGACATTACAAAACTGCTATCCCTCCCACGCCTTCATGGAGAACCAGAGTTCAAGTACAAGTCGTCAACAAGTTGGATAAAATTTGGTAATGAAGACGTGATTTCTGTGGTGTGCTTCTGTCACTTGTAGCAGTGTGTGGAATAACACAGTAAAGAAGAACTAGACCGTAGTGTAGGAGGGGGAGCAGGGAGTATTTAGCTATTGTCTATGCGTGGTAGCTATCGTTATGTAGCTACTGTCTATGTGTGGTAGTTATCGTTATGTAGCTACTGTCTATGTGTGGTAGCTATCGTTATGTAGCTACTGTCTATGTGTGGTAGCTATCGTTATGTAGCTACTGTCTATGTGTGGTAGTTATCGTTCTTTAGCCATTGTCTAGGTGTGGCAATTATCACTTTGCTCGAGTGTGGAGGTGAGACGCGCATTGTTACAGTTACTGATATAAACTTCATCGTTCATTATAGACACTGTTTTGGTCAGTGTTAACAGTGGAACATTAAATACTTTATATGGAATGTACACTGACCATGTTTTAATCCTCGAAACATGTAGAGAAACGAACAGAGTTGTTCCCAGAAACCGAAACACTTTCGTTGTCTTTGCTGAGTCACGTGATATATCATCACATTTCCAATCCCACAACTTTCGAATGAGGAGTTTGAGTGTAAATGAGGACCAAACGCAACGTGTCACATGTTAACTGTGAGATCTCAAATCGCGGTTTTATTCGGTGTGGAAGGCTGTCCGAGCACATGTACTTACATTCCTGGAAGTGGTGGTAAAAAGCCATTCCATGGTAAGTGATGAAGGAACAGACACCAACCAGCCTTATGGATGGATAGGAGGAAGAAGGGACCAATCAATTGTATTTACTTTCTCTGTAATGGTGTAAATTTATGAGTAGAAAAGATCAACCTCTTATACTTACTGTGTTGTGCTGAAAGGCAAAGAGATTAGACGTTGCTCTGTTGTTTTCAGGGTGAGGGGTAAATAGGTACGAAATTTAATGTATGGTGTTAGAGCGAGAGATAACAGAACCTAGACACTACTTTGGCGTGTTGGTGGTGGTGATGGATAAAATGACCTAGACACTACTTTGACGTGTTAGTGGTGGTGAGGGATAACATGACCTAGACACTACTTTGACGTGTTAGTGGTGATGAGGGATAGCATGACCTAGACACTACTTTGACGTGTTGGTGGTGGTGAGGGATAACATGACCTAGACACTACTTTGACGTGTTGGTAGTGGTGAGGGATAACATGACCTAGACACTACTTTGACGTGTTGGTGGTGGTGAGGGATAACATGACCTAGACACCATTTTGACGTGGTTAGTGGTGGTGAGGGATAACATGACCTAAACACTACTTTGCCGTGTTGGGTGAGGGATAACATGACCTAGACACTACTTTGACGTTGTTGGTGGTGGGGGGGGGGGGGGGAGGAAAGATACCAATCATATATTTTCTGCGTCAAAGTGGTGAGGATCTAAAATGTTCAGCCATATCCTTTCGTTCTGGTGGTGAGATGGTAAGGAAGGGTCGGGACGTGAAATTTACGTATTGTGATGCAACATCGGCAGTGTGTAAAACATCTGTTTCTGATGTCATTGTCCTCAGACAAATGAAGTACTATGATATAAAAACAACAACAAATATTTACATATGTATATATTATACATTAAGATTGCTGAAAATTATGAGGTATTTAAATGGAACTCCAGAATCATGAAAAAGTAACTTACCAGTATGAGTTCGCTGATGAGCTTTAAGATGAGATGATTTTGTGTACACTTTTTGACAGCCAGTAAATTGGCATTTATGCACTCTTCTCTTATCAGTTCCGAGGTCGAGTCGACATCTGGTCCTCGGGGAGTCGACAGGCTTGCCTGGGAACGTTGGTGACATTAATGGGCCTAAAGTAGACTTTAGAAGTGCTGCATTCTGAAAAACATCTCCTTTCGGTCCCATCGATACTTGAAAAGTAGTAGTATTATTAAATCCTAAACTGTGGGCAACTGGTCGCACAAACACGCCATCTGGCGAGGACGGAGGAGAAAATGAGGCTTCGGTTTTGTTAATCATCTTCAGGACAACTTTTTCCGGCGATGACACTGGTGATAGAACAGTCTTCCTTTTCAGGTTTTGAACCCCGCTTTGAAAAACATTGGGAGATTTTGGAACACGAACAACTTCACTGATTGGACCTTCACATGACAGGGAGGTTGAAATTGAACCAACACTGGCATCCGGAACGTGGTAATCGGTATCCAAATCAGAGACACTTAGTCTGTCTTCCCCGCCACTGCTGTTGTCAGAATCGCTAATACTGTTCGCATTTTCGACTCTACCATTTAATAAGAGACGACTTTCATCCATGTCTTCCTTCATGGAGTCCAAGGATGTATTCTGTTCTTTGGGAAGGTTGAACAGGTCCCAGGGACTTCTGAGGTTGTCATGCACCCGCTGACACGTATGGAGTCGGGGTTCTTCACGTAGGTACCTCTCCATCTCCAGGATAGTCTAAAACATACAATATCATAATGAAACACAAGGGTTGTTGTGGTATTTTATATTTGAAAGCATAAAATTTATAAAATGTAAAAGCAGTGCTGAGTATTCAAAGTAATTTAAACAGGTAAGTGACCTGCCTAGACTACTCACCTATGAAATTAGGTATGTAGAGTTCTGAACGAATCTGCGGGGCGTCTCAATGATTGTGAGGTTAAACCTATTCCACAACATGTGATACCCACCAAGTACAAAAGACACTTTGAGCCGAATGGTCTGATGAAAAATGACAAACCAATCGACTTATCTAGTAAGAGACACCATATCTAGCAACACTTGCAAAACCTGGGTATTGAGGGCAAGTATTAAAACTTAATGATACTGCTCCCAGGTCCCTACTCAAAAGTCTGACAGTACCGGTACTCTAAACTTCTATAAACAAATGAAGGATTCACACACAAAATCTTAACACATAAACACTGCTGTCTGAGATGGGGCTCTGAGAAATGATAGATCCATTCCCCAAATACCTTTCCCTTTGCAATGAATAGTACTACGTCTCCCCCCCCCCCCTTACATATATGGTGACGTCCTCTATACGTCCCTACTCCTAATTTCATTTTTGTGTAGTTTAATAAAGTTTAAAACTTCCCATGCACACACGGACGGACAAACACGTTACTCTATTAATTATATAGGTGTGACAGATCCATCTATAAGTGGCTAACATACCAAAGTGTGAACCCGATGGTCCAACGTTCGTGTCCCCTTGCCGCAAGATCGCGCTCTGCACTTCGGTGCCATGGATGCGTTTTAAATGCCTCGGTTAAATCCCTCCATTCGACAGAGCAACAAGGGAGTTCGTAATGAGTGTTGTTCACTACAGATAGCTACTTTCTCTCTAGTCTGTCAAATCAAAATGGGGGCTAGTGCAGATCGCTCCTGTGTAGCTTAGAGCGAATATCCGAAACAAACAAACAAATACGATGACGAGGAACCCACTTTGAGACTAATAATGGCTGGAGACGGCTTAAATGGGTAATGAAGAAAAACTTTAATATAAGTTTAACATGACAGCAAATGTACAAC